GAAATTGCATTAAGCTTTATTTTGTTGAGATTCTGTGAATAGAAGACCCCTACTCCTTCTTTCTCCATCCCTCACATTAAATAATTATACTGGCTTACAGACACTGTACTATCCAAATAGACTGGATACAAAAGACAAAATTAAATGTAGCTTACCTGTTTTTGTGAAGGGGATCCAACTTTCTGTGTAAAACCTGTAGCAGGAAAAAATAAATGGTTTAATTTGTTTTCAGAGTTTCTCAGCGAGACTTGGTCTCATAATAGAAATGTGTGTTAGCAACTGTATTATGCTATGAGTTAGAGTACAGTATGTTAATATCTAAGTAAAGAGAATAGAACAAAAAAGTCTTACTTGAACTGCATTAGTTTTCTTCAGACTTGCTTCATTTTGGTGTGAAAAAATCATGGCTGCCATTTTGGCTCAGGACCTTATGACACACCTCTGAGATAGACTAACAGGATGCTAACACCACAGCGTGAGTGAGTAGTGTGGACAGAGTGTGGGATTTATTGTAATATTATAATTGGAGATTTGAGATATTAGAGATTTTACATACAGGTGTATGTTTTGATTGTTGGATATATGGTCTTTTACAACTGGACTTTGCTGCTTTAAAAGATCAGCTATATGTCTGGTAGTGATTGCTTACAAAGGCATATACAGAGATAAGTGTTCAGCAGAAATGGGCTGGGGATAACTGAGGTCCTGTTTGAAAAAACTTGAGATAAAAAACTTTAGATTCAAAGTCAAATATTATATTAATGAACAGTAGTTTCTGTGAAGCTTACACTATAAATGGTATACAGTGGCAAACATTAATATGAGTGAGGTAAAATAATTCATCACCTATTGAAACTTAATTCCACTGAGTATCTTCTTTGTAGCTCTTAGGAAGCTCTTCCTTATTATGACATCACTGTTGAGTCTCATATTGTACCTTAAAGTACGCTATATGGGTATAAAAGAATGTGTCTGAAAGCAACATTCTAAAAAAATTATTTGTGACATACAATGGGAAAAAATATAGTTGTTTCAATGTAAATGTATTCAGTAAAAGAGATAAAACAAAATGTCTGAGACAAAATTGAGTTTCTCTGCAAGGCAATAGCACTGAACTCTTTGAGCACTGTAATTTCCTTTGTGGGTTTTCTGAAGTTTGTTATGAGGCTATTCATGTGGCTGAAGCTTGTTAGAGCATTAGACCAGACATACTGTAAAGATTTCTTTTCAGCAGCGAGTTTGACAAGGAGCTAACACTTTTCTTGTCTCTTGCTGCATTTCTTTCACATCTCCTGAGAGAGCAGAGAGAGACAATTGTTTGACATGTCTGATTTTTTCCTGTCCTCCCCCATCTTAACAATCACTCTCCAATTGAATCCTACAAAGCCTGAGATGAATGACAACAATTTAATAATCCAGCCCAGCAGCGTCAAATATCATAAAATGTATATATTGCATATAGATGTACTCTGCAAAAAACACTTTAATTGAGTTCATGTAACCTAAGCTTTTTCAATGGCACTAATTGGTCCCTAGATGAAACAAACTGGGCAATGGTGCTTACTGAAATACAGAGTTTACGATTTTCACAATAAATTTACGTGACCTTTATGAAATTATGGTCATTTGGTGTTAAATGTCTTAGTATAGTGCATTTTGAAATTACAAGATTAAGTCATGAAAAACTGTGATTCAGAGTTATAAATATATCATAATAGTTCTAGGCAGTGCTTCTTTTGAGTTTTACTCTGCCTACATAGAAATAAAATATTTTCTTAATAGCATTTGGTCAGAATGTCTGAGCTATTCAAATAATCAAGAATAAATCAAGATTTGTCTCATGTTGGGTTATTTAAACCTTGTATGAGTATCTTCGCAGCTCTTAATTATCTTTAATTTTTTAACCTCTTCTCAGTAGAACACATCTGCAAGCTTGCAGAGAGGTTAAGAATGCACATGACAGCAATGTGGTCAATAAACAGACATTTTTAAGTTTCATTAAAGGTAAATGAGAATGTCCACAATATACTGTATATATCTGGATATATATTTAAAGAATTTAGGTATACCAATATCTCTCCACTTTTGTAAAATTAAAGATTTGTAATATTCTTGAAGTATAGCATCTGCACTTTTAGGAGTCTGAATCCTGCATTACTCTATGAAAAATAAAAAAGGACCAAGTCCACCTTGCTTGAGTCACTGTAAACACTGTCTTGTGGCTAAAGGCTCTCACACCTCAGGGATAAATGACTGATCAAAATTGATGTGAAACCAGTGAACTCAATGCATTTTTAAACACCTCAACTACAGAGTCCAAATTAACGCACTACAGCACTCTACTTAATTTATCATAATTTTTTTAACTGGATTCTGGGTTGGCTCAGAATAGCTGGGATTTAATGTGCTTTTAGAAATGCAATGAACTAATAAAACAGGGTCGTACTGTCTGAGCTTTGGTATCAATACTTAATGATGTCATTTAAGGGGATTTAGAGCTGGGATTTGCATTTTAGATGCAAGATGATTTGATTAATTAAACTCACTAGATTGAAACAGTGCCGTGAAAAAGTATTTTTTCTTTGATTTCCTCTATTATTGCATATTTGTCACTGGATGTTTTCAGATCTTTAGACAAAATCTAGTATTAGATAAAGGGAACCTGAGTGAACAAATAACACTGTTTTATTATTATTATTTCATTTATTTAGTAAACAAAATTATCCAACACCCATATTCCCTGTTTGAAAAAGTAATTAATAACTGGTTGCACACCTTTACCTGCAATGACTGCAACCAAACGTTTCCTGTAGTTCTTTCATATCATTGTGGAGGAATTTTAGCACACTCTTCCTCACAGAATTGTTTTAATTCAGAAACATTTGTAGGTCTTTGAGCATGAACTGCTCGTTTCAGGTCCTGGCACAGTGTTTCTATTGGGTTTAGGTTTGGGCTATGACTAGGCCACTCCAAAACTTTAATTTTGCTTCTTTTCAGCCATTCTGATGTGGACTTGTTTTTGTGTTTTGGATCATTGTCTTGTCTACACTTCAGCTTCAGCTCATGGATGGATGACCTGACATTCTCCTTAAGAATTTTCTAATACAGAGCAGAATTCATGGTTTCTTCAATTATGGCAAGTCATCCAGGTCCTGAGGCAGCAAAGCATCCCCACTCCATTACACTACCACCACCATGTTTGACTGTTGGTATGATGTTTTTACTGTGTTTGCTTTATGCCAGACATAATGGGACCCATGTCGTCCAAAAAGTTAAACTTTTGATTAATCTATCCATAGAACATTCTCCCAAAAGGCTTGGGAATCATCCAGGTACTTCTTGGGAAGAGACAAGCATTTATGTTCTTCTTGGTTAGCAGTGGTTTCTGCCTTGCTACTCTCCCACGAAGCCTATTTTAGCCTAGTCTCTTTCTGATGCCTGTAGTTCTTTGGATGTTATTTTAGGATCCTTTGTGACTTCCTGGATGATTTTTACGCTGCACCATTGGGATACATTTTGGGAAGATTCACTACTGTTCCAGTGTTCTCCATTTGGAAAGCTCTAACTGTGGTTTGGTGGAGTCCCAGGGCCTTAGAAATGGCTTTTGTAATCCTTTCCAGACTGATAGATATCAACAACTTTTTTCTTATCTCTTCATAAATTTCCTTTGATTGTGCCATAATGTGCTTGTTGAATCATTGTGCTGGCAACTTGACTCTGATGGTAAGGGTCAAAATAAGTGAGGTTTATATTGAGCAGGGCTGGCTGTAATCAAGCCTGGCTGTATTCAATCAGCTGACTCTAAATTATCCCTTGGGTTGATTTAACTAAGGGGGCAATTACAGAATTACACAATTTCACACAGTGCCAGTTGGTGTTGAATAACTTTGTTCATTAAATAAATGAAATAAGTAAAAACAAATGTGTTTATTCAGGTTCCCTTTATATAATTTTGGTTACAGACCTGAAAACATTCAGACATGTTCAACTTTTTTAAGGTATTGGATTAATTGCTAGGTTACAATAAAGCCAATGCTTACAATGAAAAATAAACCTGGATCTTATGTTATGGGGCATTTCATAGCACTATTGTTTTGGGATCATAATTAAATGTTTGTCAAAAAACAGCGTGAAGCAGATGATCCTACTCCTGCTTTAAATAATGTATCTTAGTGTTCATTTAAGACAGACTCATACATTCCAAAAGAAGCTGTGAATAATGTTTATGCTGTTGTAGTGTTTTATATACATTATTTTCCACCCAGTTCCACATATTCATGTATGGTTTTAAATTAACAAGTGCCGTCCTTTTTGTCTGTAACAGTTTTGATGTTTTTTTTCCCTATTTAGTAATTGATTTCTTTGACTTTGTGCTGCATTCACACTTGCTAAGGGTGTGAATACTCTATGCAAACCCAATGTCATCTCTCTAAAACAGGGGTATCCTTCTTCATTTTTGGAATACTTTCAAACCCCAAAGGACTGATCATAATATCTTGTACTGTAATGTAACTAAAGAAGTGCATCAAGTTGCCAAAAAGAAAAAGCAAACGTGCCAAGATCTTAGACATCTACAAGTGAGTAAAAACAGCAGTTGTGTGAAACAAACTTTTCCCAGTGTATATTTTGTGAAAAGGGTAGCAAGGAGACGGTGATGAGTTCTTGGCTGCCAGGACAAATCCCCACCTTATGAAAATGTAAGGAGGCTGCACTAGTATCATCTGGACCCCTGTTCTAGAAAGTCATGATATTTGTCATCAGACACTTTCTTAAGTTGGTCTTCGAGCTGCTGTACAATGTTAGGACAGAATTAGCCCACCATTGTCTATAGGTTTTAAAATGTGGTGAAAAATAGAAATACTGTATACAAGAAGATAAAAATATGCTTGTACAGAAAAAAAAAACGAAATAGAAGATAGAAACTCCACTCCTTAATAAGAGTTATTACTACTGTCGTTTTACATTGTCCAATAATGTCACTTTGTCTGCTTTTCTTACAGGTAATCACCAACACAACTATAACCATCTGGGGCTTACCAGCCCAACCCAGACACCTAAAAATGGTAAGGAGATAAAGCTGACAATAATAGAGGTAAAAGATTATACTGTAGTAAAGGTATTATGTGTAAAACACAGCATCATTAAAATTGTATTTGACTTGACAAAATGTGTTTGGTAAGAAAAAAGTGTCTTAACACTTTCCAAATATAAGAATTTGGAAAATAAACTATTTTCATTACTTTCAGAATTTTCTAACTCTTAGTTTTAATGTAAGAAATATAACATGTATACTTATGAAACTTTTACTTCAATTTTAGTTTTCAATTTTCAGGAAATAATAGTAAGAAAATATTGTAAAAATATGTTAAACATTTTAACCATTGGACCTATTTTAGCTATACTGTATTTCACTTTTGTGATATTTGCAATATGTTGCATGGTTTCATACTTTGTCATAACTTTTCTCTACCTTTCAAAAGCAATACAGAACACTATATAAACATATATGCAAGGATTCATTTTTTTTAGAAAACCTGTTTCCAAAGTCAATAGGTAAAAGAACATAGAAAGTGTTTTTAGAATGGGGATTGGTATCACTTTCACATTTAATGGTTGTTAATTTTTCACAGAAAGTGAAAAATGGATGTAAATTGTACAAAAACAAATTACTTATTTGAGAAAGTTAAGAGCTAACTCTTCTTGTTGACAAGTATTCCATGATTATATTTGAAATATTTTAATTAATATATTTCTTAATAATAATATTACAAAACATAAAATGATTGACTTGTCACATATTAAAGTAAGTTTAAAATAGCATTATTAGACCTGTGCTTGATCTTACAGCACACATTACACATACATTTTTAACATGAAATAATGGTATACATAAATAATGTTTAAATGATACATAGACAAGCGTAAAACATTCTCAAAAGAATGAAAATACAGACAACAGTGTGTAGTAGTGGATAAGTACTGTAGGTGCAAAATCCAGGCAGGGTACTGTAGATTGTGTGAAGTATTTATGTGAGATAGCTTCATGTAAAGAATCAAACAAAAGCATCAAGTAAAGCATCAAGCATCATGTAGAGCATCAAACAAATAATTAATAATACACATTGCTTACTGTATTCACACTTGAATGAAAAAGAGGTCATGTTAGTATGACAAACCATTCATATCAGCACCACATTATCATTCAATGTAAAAACTTTGGTTCGGTTTCGATGGTTTACTCTCTTACTACCACAAGAGAATGCATACATTTCAATCAGAAAAAAATATTACACAGTCACATCTGTATCCATTTCTGCTTTAGTAGACCTTTCTTTCTCGTTTTAGAGAGCACATCTTTGTCAGCATGAAAAAATGAAAATAAATGTATTGTTACATGATACATTTTAGGTTAGTAATACTAACAACATATACAGGATTACAAAACACCTTTTATTTTTTTAATGCTTGATGCACTCAAGTGTCCAACTGTATATTGTTTACTGTATAAAGTGATTGCTAAATTATTTCTAATATTTTTACATGGCACTTAAACATTTTAAACCTTTCTACATTTTTAAAACTTTAATGCCTTTTTGTCAAGAAAACAGAGATGTGTCAATAACATATTACCACAACAAAGATAAAAGCTGGTGTTTATCTTTTAAACAAATAAAAATAGTAGCTTAATTTGAAGATCAGGACAATTGTACATTTCCACATTTCCACCTCTTTTGTTTTATTAAGTGTTTCTTAACTGATGGTACAATATCTGGGGTCAAAGGTCATGACAACAGACTAAGTAGTCTGTTTTCTGGGAATCAATGTGAAAAGCAATTTGTTTTCAACCAAGAGCACTTTTAGTAAATCAGTTGAAAGAATCCTGTTGAAAATTCTCTAGCCATGGTAAAATGAAATGTCTGCACTTAAGCACAGTATAAAGGCAATAAGCCTAGTGGCTTATTGGGTTGGAGTTTCTGTAGCATTAAGCTAACAGAGAGAACATGAGTCACCTATCACAAGGTTCTCTCCAACTTTTCCTACATTTAGTTAGGTGTCTACACTAATTGAGGGAATGAAAAGATGCTACTGTATATAATTTTCACTACGTAATCTTGTGTGTGATTTTGATGTAAAAACCTTTTTGCTTTGGGGTTGCTAGGAGATGCTTGAATCCACAGCTCTTAAGAACGTACAAAAGCTCTAACAATCTGCGGCAAAATTAAGAACCAAAATAAATGAAGGTTTGGTAATTAAACTTTATACACATAGGGGTATATTCTAATGAAATATAAAAAACTGGAAAAAAAACTCCTTTCGTCTGTTAAAGAGTCTTAAGTATCTTCATATTAGTATGTCAGATCCTGGAATCATGAACTAATTCAATTATAGCACTGAAAGTTGAAGGCCTTAGTAGTTAGCTCTTTCATGTCTGATTCCAAGACCTGAAACACAGCACTTTTGAAGCACTGCATTAACAAAATAGCAATAAAACCTGCTTTGAAGGTGACCCAGCAGTGTAAAGTAAGAAGCAGAGATCACTGCTTTGCTGGTGGTTTCAAAAAGGCAAAAGGCTGTAGGTTTCGCATTTTACCATAGCATGTAGCAAATCTATTCTTAAATTTCACACCGTATTACAATAGCAGTAAATTGATTTCATTCATTTAAAAATGAATTAGAATACATCTGATGGGTATTCTTTCTCCATTTCTTCTGAAGGCAATGTTTTGCTTTTGGATTGCTTAATTCATGCAGGTTTATTTTATTTTAATATCTAACAATAGAATTAGTTATTGTCTGACATAATTTAATATCCAGTAAGGTATCAAGTGAATATTCACTAACCAATATGCTAACTTAAAAGGCAGGCTGCATTATTAACATAAAAACATGATTGATGTGGTCATGATTTTAGATTTTAATCTTTCTATGTCTTACATTCCTTATGTAAGGCAATGTCAAAGCATAAGGCATATATTCAATTGGTTATGCTTTTTTAATTTAAGATTAATCGAAAAATTGAATGGTAAGTTATGGTAAGTAATGCAACACTTGCATTTCACAGAATGATATACAATAGTTTATGAAAGTCAGGCTGTTCTTTATTTTCTCTCTCAGGGGTTTTTGAAGATTACACAAAACAAATATTGATAAGCAGCTCTCAGCTGAAGTGAGGAAAGTCTTTCTCTGCATAACCTAATGCATCAGGCAGAGAGAAACAGCGTCAGACCATATCTTATTCTTTTTCACTTAATGCTTCCAGTGTTATATTTCCAATTTGGCATTCTGCCTTTCCTCCCTGCTACCTACCCTATTTTTAAAATACCATTGAGGTCTGCACAGCATCAGAGCTCCATACAGCAGCCCAGTTCTTTCTCCTCAAGTCATTCTCTTCCATGACAACTGCATATCTCAAAACAAATCTGAATCTGAAAAACAATGACACGGTGCCTCGTACCATTGCTGGTTTTTGTCAAGAATTTTCCTGATTCTAATTAAATATGTCATGGCAAAACAAAAAGAAATAAACACTGGCAGGGTTTATTAGAAGTTTAGAAACTCCAGTTTCTCTCGATAGTGTTGAGACAATGGAATGTACAATTTACAATGCAAGAAGAAGACTAGTGAAATATTACATACTGTATATAAAAAGGGGTGTCATACTTAAATTATTAGCAAAAAAACAAACATTTGATCATTTTTTATGGCAGCAACAACAAGAGACACACTTGGGGTTTGTGAGTCTTCAGCTTCAAAGATATTACAACTATTGCTGTATTTTTGTATAAATCTTTGAAATGAGTAGCCCTCCCTACAGTAAATATTAAAAAGGTTAGAAACATTTTTCAGGTGTGATTTAAAATTAAATCCATGGTGATACATGGCAGACTTGAGGATTCCAAATAAACGTACTTTTGGTGCTCTTGCGGCTGCCAATGTGAATTTGATACGTCAGTTCTGCAATGGTATACTGTATAATACTATACCATTTTAAGTGTGTTTATTTACAGTATATTACATTTATTTTGGTGGCTTTATATCCACATTAACAATTTCTACCAGAAGCTTAATTCTGAACTACAAATATTTATATAAATATCATCTGTGCTAGTTGCAGAGATTCTTGTACAGGCTAACCAAATTAGCTTTTTTGCAAAATAAAGTCCTGTAGATTTTATAGAACCATAATCACTATTCGTGCAGAATTATAAACTTGAATTTTAACTTGATCTCACATATGAGTTTTGAGAGTCATTATGTACATTTCATGCCATTCATAAAGATTATAAGTTATGATGAGTTATGACCTTTGATTATAAGTCTTACTCTCATGGCTTATATAAACACCCACTGTATAGATTAAAATTTCTCAACCTTTTTTCACTGGAGTTCAAGAAATCTTCCTCTTTAATGATCCCCAACATATACACAACAAAACAGAGATCTTTAGTTATTATTACTAACGCTCCTACATTTCAGGTAAAAATCCACCTCTGACACAGATTTACACAGATTTTACACATGCTATAATTTATTTTTTTTTCTTTTGGAACCCCTGGTTTATAACTACTGATGTAGTACATGAAGACTTATGCTATTGATATTTCATGCAGCATACATACTGTATTAGTTCAGGTGGGTAGCTGTGTCAGCATGCGTAGGCTGCAAAGGAACAAGTAATAGGCTTATTCCATGCTGAAAAAAAGAAGAAAGAGAACACAACGTTTCGGCAGTGGAGCCTTCTTCAGGTGTGTGAACATGCTTCTTTTTTTCAGCATGGAATAAACCTATTACTTGTTCCTATACATACTGTATGACTCATCCCATGCTGAGATAAAACTAGATAAGTGAAGGTTTAATAGGGTTTCTGCATCTGTAGATGTTCAGTGGTGATGAGATAAATAGTACGTATATGTATGTTTTATTAACATTCCACAAAACTTTACTATATTTAATTTACTTTAAATTTAATTGACCATAAATAGAACATTTATAAAGCTTTTTGACAACATTTGGGGTAAATCAGGGAGAACACATTCACTGAGTAAAAATCCTACATGGTCACGATATGCTGTACTTAACATTTTAATACAGCCATATTTTGTAAATGCTTAATATATTTATTGACCTTACCATAAAACATTACAGTCCCCCATCTATGACCCATTTTTATATTGTAATATATATTATATATATATTATATATGTAGATATATTCTTATGCAAGCAATGTATTTCTTCTGCATTTCAATGGGCCCAGTTTGTCTTCTAAGACAACTTCATGTGAACAGATTAAAGCAATAATTATTTTTGCATATTAACCCAGACATTGTTTAAAAAAATGACACAATTACAAAACAAAACACATGAGGATGGTATCAGCTTTCAGTTTTATGCCAAAGAGAACATCTCCATCCATCCATTTTATCCAATACAGGGTTGTGGGGGAGCCAGAGCCTATCCCAGCATGCAACAGGTGCAAAGCAGGATACACCCTGGATGGGATGCCAGTCCATCAGAGTGTGGACACAGACACAAACACAGACATGCACACTCCCACACAAAGGTAGATATTCTCAGAAGCCCATTAACTTACCAGTATGTCTTTGGATTGTGAAAGGAGACCTGTGCCCCTAGAAGAAACCCACACAAAAACAGGGAGAAGACATAAAGTTCACATAGATAGCACCCCAAGAAATGAATCCAGGGCCCTATTGCTTTGAGGCAACAATGCTAACAATGAAAACATCTCATCTTACAAAATTAGTTCTACCCTGTGTTCCAAATATGTGTTGTTTTGAAATCTGTTATTACTTGAGCATTTGATTTTTTCAGCATTAAAACTTCTACTGTGTGAAGTGATTTTCAACATAGTGTATAAAGGCAAATTCTTCTGTTTTCCCACAGAAAAGCCTCGGATGAACAGCATTCTTACCTCGGCTACGGAGCCCTATGACTTGTCTTTCTCCAGATCCTTCCAGAGCCTCTCCCATTTACCACCATCCTATGAATCAGCGGTTAAATCTGATTTAAGTAAATACTCTTCTCTCAAGAGATTAAGTAGGTGTAACTTCATTACATTTACCACGCATTTGTTAACTACTGTCTGGACGACCAGCACAAAGAGCAAAGGTTTTTCCCTGAATGCATTGTGTGTTATCTTAGCAGAGGTACACATCAATGCAATAATATCCCCATATTTCAGAGGGATATTAAAATGTCACCTGAACTGCTGTCTCAAAGTAGACGGGGTGGATCAGCGTGCTGGTGATTAAAAAATGGTTTTATAATTATTATATGAAAATAGATCATAAATAATGGTGACAATAACATATTGTGATAATGATGATAAATATGTCTCTAGAATTAAAATTAACACATTAAGCACATAGAACTACCCCCTCGACTGATTTTAGTTAGCATTCAATTTGAGAACTTCCATGGCTCATACCATTTAGATCATATCAAAAAATACATCTTTACACTCCAGAAATGTCTCCAATTGAAAATTCAAGCAACTAATTTTGAGATGGTGATCAGAGAAAATTTAACTTAAAGGCACATTTTTTCCTTGTGTTTAGAAGATATCACTGTGGATTACATAAAAAGTGGCACAGCAGTGATAGCTACATCTGCATTTACAGAAATAATAATAATGAAAAATGTAAAATTATTTAACTTTCCAATGTGGCTTTTAATTGTGTTAATGTAAAGACTTTAAGTGAAGCTTGAACCCACTGTAAGACTAAGTACTGTAGCTTCTTCTAAAATTACTAGAACTGTTGCTGGAATTTTCAGTGGCTTATATAGTATGTGCTGTGTTGTCTAGGTGTCTTGTTGTTTTCAGCATTAAAATAAAAATGAGTTCTTACAGTGATACATTCTGGAAAATGTCACAGCACAGATCCGTTTCCAATGTTTCAAGTAAAATTTTAGAATTTTGATATTTGTTAATACTAGAATATATTATTTTCTTATCTGTCTTCGTAATTTATTTCTTTTTAAGAACAGAAATGTTTCCATGTTTTTCATCATTTAAATCAACTGGATTTCACATTGCCCTCTACACAAAAGACAGAGAACTTGACTTTTTTAATGAAATAATGTTGAGACTTACTCTACATATTATTTTTGATGGCTTTTACTTCTTCAATTGTATGAATTAAGGGGTTAATTCAATGCTGAAAAGTAATGAGAAAGAAGAAAAAATGGTTTGTCATGGGAGCTTCTTCATGTGCATCGGGGAGGGAGACGGCAGGGACTTAAGGCCAATGGGTGGGGCAGGGAAAACAGGAAAAAAAATGGGAGAATTGTTAGAGGGAGTTGAAAAGGAGGATAAATGAATTGAAAAATTATAACAAGATTAGTTGAGTGCTGCTAGGGGACAGTGTGAACCAACTGTAAAGAACATTTTGTCTCCTGATGACTTTCTGGTATTGGAGTCTTTTCATCACTTTGGAAGGATGGAGACAGTCATCCGGTGTTCTTTCTGTTTCTCCAATATAAATAGCAGGGCTCTGTCTGCCAGAGATGCAATAAATAAAATTTCTGTACAAGCATGGTGTCCTTTGGGTGATCTTGAAATGGCAAGAACTGGCAATTGTATTGTATAAATTTACTATAAGATATGTATTTCCATTTCATACAGTGGCTTCTGTTGCAGCCAAGAGTCCCCTAAAATTGGTTCACACATTCCCCCAGCACGCAATGGCCAGCTAATCTCTTTTTAATCTTTTTATTCATTTACACACTGCTGTCTTCCACAGTTTCTGTGGTTTTTGTCATCTACAGTATATTTCCATCCTTATAGCCCCCTTTCATCACCCTACCCATTTTTACATTCTCTTTCTTTACTCTTCCTCACTCCTTTGCCTCATACAGTATTCCTCTCTATCCTAGACCTTTGAAGAAGCTCCACAACCAAAAAACTTTTCCTTCTTTTTTATAACTTTTCAATAAGAGGAATTAACCTATAAAAAAGTGTTTCTGTGACACTTAGATGTTGATGCAGCTCTTCACTCTAACCTAGTCTGGTATGTTTGAAATTAGGAGCAGAAGTGTCCCTGATAACTGTCTCTGGTTAAGTAATTAAATGTTTGCATCTGAAGAGCATCTATCTATGCTGATAACAAGAAATAAAATAGAGATATGAGATTCTCTAAGCAAACTGCTAGACACAAACTAGTGAAAAGTGTTATTGACAGCTCATGAAGTCCATAGCCTTCTCTAGTAGATTGTTGCATAGCCATATAAAAATCAAAAAGGGAAAAAAAACTGGCCAGCTGCCTCCTGAAATCTCTTCAGCCAATATAATAAGAGCCTCCTAATTATACTGCTAAAGCAAATCAATTGGTTTAAAAATTAGCCTTCCTCCTTAAGCTCCAGTTATGGTTTTCCTGGTTTTAAAATTTCAGTTGGGTTGCATAGAGTAAATAGCAGATTTAAATAGGATGCTGTTACTTTTTTATCCTGAGAAAGAAACCCACTTCAGGGTTGTTTGAGGACTATGACAAATGAAACATAAACTAAGATGAGAAGAACATGAAACATAAACTAAGATGAGTAAAGAGCTCTAGGGTGCCTCCAGGTATTATTACATGTGAAACAAAATATTTCTCCCAATTATCAAATTACATAACAAAATTAGACTTATAAGCAAAGTAGTTACCACCACTACTGGTTTATTTAACTACCTTTATTAAACAATACTGCAAACTGAACTCCTTACTGTGAAACTTGCATCGTATACAGCACCTTGCAAAAGTATTCAGTGAAATGCTATAATTTTATGAAATTATCTTGAAAAGTCTTGCGCACGCATTTTTAAAATGTAATATTTTATTCAGTACCCGAAACGTTCAAACTGAAGACTTCTAAGGCTAAGTTAAAGTAAATGTCAGCACAACCTAAGGAGAAAAATGGAAATATTTTGATTGCATATGTATTCAGACTTATGTTATGTGAGTGGGAGATGCGCTTTGCTAGGACTGTGCCAAATGTAACACTTGGCATTTAGACCAAAAAGTTATAATTTGGTCTCATCTTTCCACAACATATTTTGCCACATTTTTGCAGTATAACTCAGGTGGATAGTTGCAAACTCCACATGGATTTTGAGATGACTTATTTTTAGTATTGTTCTACATATTTTTAACTGATCCACATTTTCTCCAACTCAAAGCCATTGAACTCTACAGTTCTTTCAAAGTTGTTGTTGGCCTGAGAGTGGTATTCCTCATGAGTTTTCTCCTTGCCCAGCTGCTCAGTTTGGAGGAACAGCCTGATCTAGGCCATATATTGAGGTACAATGCACATTCCATTTCTTGATTATTGAGTAGACTCTCCTCACAAGGATATATGGAGACTTATATTTTTTTCCATGAGTTTCTCTCTGATTTACTTATTGTACTCCAACAGAAATCAATCATTTGTGTGGCTTGTCTAAATCTAAAATTAATTTAGATTGCAATAGAATTTTTTGATTAATTATTAAATCATTACGTTTCCAATTCCTTTCACATTATCTATTTACTCTTTTCTTTTTTTTATCTTTGTGTGGCACAGGTTGTGTGTATAACAAATATGAATTCCTACTTCAAGGTACAATCTTCAAAGCGACAAAATGTGAAAACTGTGCAAGGCTCTGAATACTTTTTCAAGGAGTTGTATATCATCAGTTCACATGAAAATAAAAAATACTCCATTAAATTACAATTACAATTGAACTATTTACAACAAGTAAGGACTAATTACATAAGTTTTAGTAGCTGTTTTTAGCAGCCTCTAACAGTGGCCCCATTGTTACTTTGCCCCCAAATCTACTTCCAGAGGGCAATTAATCAAAATCCCCTTTAAGAGCTCTATAAATCCCTTAAATCCTTTTTAAGTGGTAAATCCCTTATAGAGATTGTAATTTAACTGACAAAATTGTAGGATCACTGTTACTGTCAAGTGGATGAATACTGTATATCAGTATCTAATAAAAGTACCATATACAGTATATGCAATTATCTGTGCTGTTTTATTGAACTGTTATTATTGTGATAATAACAATTTGGTTTATTTTTTAATAATGTGTGTGAATAAAAACTTAATGCTTTGTAAACACTGACAAGAATTCATACTTAAATATCTAAAATACTAAAATATGTAAAGCAGTAAAACTATTTCATAGTGTGCCATCTTAACAGTTAAAATAAAAATCATTCTCATATTAAATTAATGCATTGTAAAATACATGTTTTTTAAATTAAAAGGCTAGTTATTAGGTGTAAAATCAATTTTACTTTAAAAAGCTACAGTAAACAAAGGTCTCTTGATTAATACGTTATAACTGTGCAACCTAAAAATGAGTACTGCTTTATTGAAATGCACTTAATGCACATATAATTTATAGTCTTAATCATGTCTTAAAGCAAAAGAAACATAATTTTAAGCCTATTGACAAGAAACTGCCTTCTTCCTTCCACACTCAGATATCAATTATTTAAAAGGTTAAATGGAAAGTATAGATCATAATTCCACTTAAATTGTGGATAATTAGATGTTTTTGGTTTACTGTTTGAATACAGTAAGTTAAACATTTACTGTTAATTGATATTAAACATTAAACATTTTGTGCTGGGGATCATGTAATATTTTTTTAATTTATTCCATGAGCAACAAACTGCAGTGTATTAGTAAACAACCCTGATTGATTTGTTTATCTGTTCATCTGTTGGTTTTGTACACAGATTTTGTTCTTGGGAATGTTTTTTTTAACAATTTCTGAAGGCAGAATGCTGATTCAGAATCATGCTATGTCTAGACCTCTGTGACTGCTACCATCGTTATTGCTGCCATAATCATAATTATCTCTTCTAATGACTCACAAAGTCTTCAGCTGCTTCTATTTTCTCCCATATGGGAGAAAAGACACAGATGATGCCACATGTGTCACTACTTACATTTTGTTCTTTTTCTATATTGTTGTATCTTTATTTTTGCAGAATCAGGGAAAAAAAGTAAAAATGTCCAACAGGCATGTAATATATTACCTTATGCAGGAACCTCTAAACCTTGTCTCTCAGTAGAATGTTTCCTCTGATGATTATTTTAATGGCTTTTTTTTCACTGAGAGGCTTGTATACTATAAGTACAGTATATTTACTACAACATTGGTAGGAGAAAAAAAACAGCAGTAAAGCAAAAAGTGTTTAAAATGATATTTATAGGAGAATATTAACAATTTCCATTTCCATTGTAACTTTGAAATGTTTAGCATCATTAACTTCAGTCTCATTCATCTTAAACCTATATGTACAGGATGTATAATTATTACTCATAGCTAGCATCTGAAAGAAACAAATAATGGGAAAATGAAGAAAAAACTCAAAATTTAGATGAGGCAAGAGGTGTGAGTTACAAAATAAAATCAGAGGTTACATAAACCATTACATTCCCTAAGAATAACATCATTTTGAAAACTTAAAGCAAAAAGCAAGGCTTACACACTCATTGTATATACTATAGATTTCAGTCTTTCCTTAAACTCAGCCTATAACAGAATCTCTAATAAAGTTAGACAGAAGTGGCATTTATATGAAAGACAAGAAGTCTTTTTGCCATTAATCTTCAACCTTGACCAATGGTTAGTTTACTGCTCCTTGCTAGATCTTTCCATGACTTTTTGACTACACTGAAATCTATTGTGAGTTTAAGTATACTTAATAAATATGGACTTAGTCTGTATCACCATAATAGTCACAATTAGCAGTGTTTCTTTATTCCCTATTGTGGATTAGATTACATTATGGTGATGAGACATAGACCATTTGCATTTCAGCAAAATGTCTAATCAAGCTGTTTCTCTTTCAGTGTCAGCCACATGTTCCCTCATTGAGTAGCTTTAATAATATACTAGAATGTTTTGATTTCTGAAAGCGAAACAAATGACTGTTTTATATTTTCACTGCAATGATGGCACTTGTGCACATTTGTTACAAAGCATGACGCACTTTATGGTAAAAAAATAACATGTTGAGTAGCAGTCAAGAGGAGAGAGTAGTTTTCAAACATTTCAAGCTTGTACAGCTACAATTACAATGTATTATCATTATATTGAGAATTTATTGATCCCCTCCCTAACCAAAAAAAGGTTTCAGAATGTTCAGACTTAACTGTAAAATAGTCCTTTTGTTTCACAGTGGTGCAACACACACAGAATATCTGCTGAATGAACCACTGGTTGGTATGCAATAACTGCAGACCCAGCTCTAGTCTTCAAGGTCTACAATCTAGCAGGTTACTTAGATATGGAGATGTGGAGTTTATGTAGATGTGCAGCTTACGAGATGTGGAAAATTGAATGTTTTTCTAGTTATACTATAATTGTGCCAATTTAGCCCTCAAGAAACTTTCATTTGCAAGTGAATTCTACTTAAATTACAGTACTAGTTACAAGAGGGACTGCTTTGAATTTTTGACAAATTGATAAATTGATTCATTTTTTTCTTGTCAGCTGCCCATCCCAGCATTTTAATTTGAAAAATATGCAGTAGCTAACATGTTAAAATGATGGTCATTTCAGCAGTGAATTTGAAGCTGTTAGCAATGATCATTTGTTACCAAATTGTCTTCAGAAATAAGTGATGTCCCTGACATATTCAAGTGCTATTCCTGTTATTCCTGTTGTGATTAAGTAGACATTTGCAGTTATTATTTAAGTGTTTTCAAGTATAATTTTCTGCAGTTGTTTTTGGTTTTGGAAACCAGACAAAACTCATATTAAACTCATTACATAACAGAAGGAAACGTTTGAATAAAATGATTTTGGCCAAGTTTCATTATATTCATTTTGTGTTTTCAATAAAACTTTAAATATAAAGAATGACCTCCCGTAGGACTTGTAACACAAAACAAGACCTCAGATTGGATTCATTTATAATATTTAAGCAGTCTGTGGATGGGTGACAGTTTCAGAATACTGTAGATGTTTTTTTCATGTCATTAACAAGACTAAATGACCGTGTTGACTGCAGAAGTATGAACTGCAAAGACATGGGGGAGGACAAATGCAAAGGGTAATGTTTTTAAACCAATTTCTCTTATCCCCAGCTGAAAAGGATGTTGATGAGTACTACATGAGGAAACGGCACCTACCAGATTTAGCAGCCAGAGGAACTCTCCCTCTGCATGTCATTAAAATGAGTCAGGAACAGCAAGGCACCCAACGGGAGAGACCCCGAAGGGTGCAGAGAGCCATGTCCCAGGACAGAGTCCTGTCACCCGAACGTGCTCCACCGCAAGACTACAGCATGTCATCCTATGGGGGTCGCATTCTTTCTGACGAACAACTCCTGTCTGCAGAGCGCCTGCAATCCCAGGACCCCCTCCTATCTCCTGACAAGGTGATGTCACTGAAACGGTCTGGCTTCCGTGAAAAGGCCATGTCACGGGCTTTGTCCCACACAGATGTGTTTGTGTCAACGCCAGTAATGGATCGGTATAAGATGACAAAAATGCACTCTCATCCCAGTGCCTCAAACAATTCGTATAACACTTTAAGTATTAACCAGACTGCCTCCAAGCGGCAGGCCTTTGCTTCCAGACGGACCCACACAGTGGAGCAGCTACACTACATCCCAGGGCATCACCACCACTACCGTACAGCAAGCAAGACCGAAGTAACTGTTTAACCAGCGGCTAACAGCTTTTCTGAGAAACATGTCCATAATTAAAAATAAAGGTTTTACAAGTATCAAAACCATCCCAGCGAAATACAATACAGAGACCTTGACCAAGTTGACCTCTCTGAACCATTTCTTTGGTGAGATGTTTAAAAAATATTTGCTTTTAGCACCAGCTTTCCAATTCATCCAGTCTTTGAGTCATGATTTAAAAAAAAAATGGATAAAGGAAGCAAAAGGAAGATTCAACAGTTTCTGTCAAAGAAAGCCGTACATTCTTAGGGGAAATTTTAAGGGCTTTGCATGTTGACACATTAGGATTGATGTTTCAGAGGTTAATCATGTATAAGGTTTCAAAGAGAAATCAAATGAAAAAAATACATTCTGAGGGTGTGAAACTGGAATGGAACTGTAATAACTTTATAAATATATAAATATATTTACTATTTGTACTTCCAGTCCTAGTCATAGCTTTAGAAAATTCTTCTTGAACTGAACTGGTGTTAGCACTTTTATCAGTGCCTCTCAAAATGTTCCATTTCAATACTGAAGTGGCTTTGTGGGTTAATAAGCACAATAAATTCAAAAGCTCGATTTCTTTTTCTTTTTCAAAATTTTGTTCTTTTTTGGTAATGGCTAGCACGTATCAGCTTATTAAAAATAGCAAATTCCGTTGCATTCAAGATTGTAAATAGGCTATATCAACAGAAGTTAACAAGAGTCAATAATGTAGGAATAGATAGTAGTTTTGAAACAGACTCTCTGTTATCACACCTGAGTAAGAAGGATATTATGAAAGAAAACCTTAAGTTCCAAATAACAGTTTCCAAGTCCACAGTTTCATATTACACAACCCACAAACGAAGATATAACATCACCAATGGGTTCAATAATGAATTTGTTACAGTACATAGTAGAATGAAAAAGTGAATGTGTTTAACAGTTAGTACTAATCACTGTTGAAACCCGACTTCAAACTGTGTCCCAGTGCTCAACAGAAGAACATATTACTTAAAGCTTATCGCAATAGCATAGAATAATTTTTTTTCCTAATAATTTTTTGCCATTCCTTACACTTGTATGTCTTACTTGTGCTTGGCCAGGAAATGTTTATTCACTTACATATCAGATACTTCTGTATTGATGTAAATAACTGCATATGTCAAAATGGAATAATAATTGTTGTTGTGCAATGGTTAAATTGTTATCATTGTCTTGCCGTAACTCAAATCAAACACTCAACAAAGAAAATATCATTCTAATACTAGCTAAGAAAGGATCAAAACTGTGAAATGTTTGTCCAGATATATTTTGACAAAAAAATAAATGCCTTATATATTGTGGAATCCCAAAAAATAATGTTATTAATTTTCATCATTCTTCTCAATTTCAATGGGAAATGGCCTTGTAATCTCAAAAGATTTTGTAACTCCAACAAGGGAAATATAAAGTGTACCAGCAATATAAAGAAAAATATAGGTAGAATATACCTCATAATTTGGAAAAGAGTTTTGTTCTGAGGGTATAGATTACTCAAATGGAGAACAAAACTTTGATTAACAAATGAAAAGCATAATATTTTTTTAACATTTGCAATATTTATACTGAAGTTAATTTTCATTATACAGTATGTAAAGGGAGTGCTCACCTCAAAGATGCATCATTAATGTAATTATATTAAGGATGCAAATCTGCAGTAAACATTTAATTTAAATCTGCCCAGAACAATTGATTTAGTAGATCACTAGTTATCAGAATCCAACAAAGACTGTATGATTTGTTGTAAGAGATTAAAAAAAAAACAGTTAGTATTGTAGCAAAAACTTTCAATTTGTTCAAATCTCACTTCATTGTATTGGTAAAAATATTCAGTTCTGGGAATGATATCATTTTTTACTTGGGTAAAACCTACTGAGTAGATCAGAAGTACTCATTAGAGAGAAAGTCTCAATTTGGCTCCTGTACAGGGGTGGGATTTTTATGTGACTTCAAGCCTTCTCCTTATTTGTGGAGGATCAGCTTTGAAAACGTATGATATACTGTACAATACAAAATGGCCTTTTTAAATGCTGACATCCTAATTTAGAATGTGTGTGAGCTTGAGGAGCTTTCAGTCATGCTCTTTGCAAAACCGAGATAAAAAAAGATGAAAGACTCTAACAAGAAAGCTCTCCAAGCCTTTTGGGACCTTTTTGTTTGGCAAGATGAAGCCCTGAGTTACTGTATTTGGGGTCTTGTGTTTAGGAACCTGCATGGTGTGGCAGAGCTATGAAGTATGCATGGCTTTATTTGATGGAAACTGTTTAAAGGATGTGAAAGCACTGTATGATGTGAATATTCTGCACATGACAATTAGGCCCATTTAAGTTGTATCTATACACACATGAGGGCCTTTTAATAACTTCTAAAATGTGTAAGGAAAAAAGATCTTTTTAACACTGATCATTGGTACCGATTATGAAATACACTCCAGGATGTTTTGGTGCTTACTTAGCTTAACACCTCTGTTTCCTCTATTGCAAAGTGAAAGCATTCTCTTGCAGTAAAAGTACTACATGAAGTGTACTATGTAGCACTGCCATCAGAGAGAAACAGAGCAAGAGAAAAAGAGAATAAAAACTAATAGAGAGGAGTGTAAAACACCAAGTTACACATTCTGATGCATTTCTTTCCAGCAAGAAATAATGTGTATATTTCATACAAAAAGGTAGAATAAACATTTGCTACCATTATATAGCTGATTAACTGTTGGCTATCTTTATTAGAAATAATGCTAATTAACAAAAAAATCATCTTCCTGTCTACTGTTTGTATGGTCATGAGTCTTCTCTTATAACCATGCTTTGTGCCCTGCCAAGTTAAATTTTTATATCCATAACGTTTTGAACTAAGTTGCTTTGTAATAGCTGATTACCTTGAATTATTAAATAATTAGAGATTTTGTAGTAAGTACTCACTTGCTTAAAACAAGGAAAATGTTATTGTAACATTTTATTTTGGAAAAATTAATTCCTTAAAGGGGTAAGGTGATAATCCTTGTGTTTAGGTCCATTTATGGATTCAATGTTTATGGTAGTATTGATGACAAAGTACCTTTGTATCTGTGACTTTGCACAAACTATTGGTTACTCATCGAATAAGCTTCAAAACAAGCAGTATTTGACTGTTTATCTGTAATTTTCTTGTTGTTCTAATTTACTTATAAAGCACATTCTGTATGTACTGTATAGAAACTATAATCAGTTTAGTAAACTTAGTCTAAAGAACTTTTTTCACTTTTCTCATTTATAATTATTTATGGAATAAAAATAAAATAAAGAGATTTCAACAATTAATTGCAGAACCATACTACATATCTCTACATACTATCAAACTCACTTCATTTTTTTTTTCTGAAGGAACCAAGTTCACCTTAACAATACTGCCATCCTCCTATTTAGAAAACGATATAACAGGATCCCTGGCCAGTTCACAATAATATGCATTTCTGTGGTCTTATATTATATAATAAGAAAATATCGCATATTAAGTGTACCTCCTCTCAAAAATACACAAAGTCCCATGTCTCATCAGAAGTGAAGAATTAAAGAAAAGCCAGAAAATACAGTACTTTTCAGATGAACCACCACGGGCAACACCTATTGAAAAACCGCTGAACTCTTTTTTTAATATCAATCATCAAAAGTATTACTTATATATGCATTTTCTATAATTGTTCACAGAACCCAAGAGTTCTAGAGTCCGATAAAAAGAAGCCTTAACACCCATAGCATGTGATTGAGCTTTATCTTCTACTCTTCAAATGGAACTGTTATATTTAAGACATGGTTAATGGTGTTTTATATCTCTTCAATACCATATTGCACACACACCTTTTTTTTCCAAAGCAAGAAAATATGTCTTCCCTTTAAGGATCTTAAGTTGTATACTTCTCAAAAAATGTATTAATGTGCTTATGAATGAGTAATGCTTGGGTGCCCTGAACATCTTAAGTAGCAATGCATAGAACAATGCACAGTGATTTCCAAACCAGACCTGTATTGGTTTAAAAACACTATTTTAGATAACAATAGCTGTGTATGGATACAACTTTTAAACATACATTATTATGGACATTGCTGTACACAAATATAGTACTACGGATCCCATTTTTCAATTCAAGGTGATATAGATAAACCTGAGATCCATATATTAAAGTGAAAACAATACAAAAATATATAAACAAGGAAACAATAAAGTTAACTAGTTATTTGACTTTGTAGTAAATTACTGTAACCCTCACTGCCATGGTGTTCAATAAATATCAAAGTTCCTAAAGGTAGTTTGTTATATTTTACAATACTTTAGTTCTCAGTTAAACTTTCTTCTCTGCTTTCACAAACTAAAGCGAGAAACTAGAAGCTACAAAGGGTGGTTCAGTGAGTAATTACAAATTTTATCAGAGTAGATCTTGAATCAATTCAACATGCATAAAATTAATTTTATTTGTTATGATTTATTTTCCTGCCTTGTGTCCATTGCCTGTTAGATTAGACTCACTGTCACCCAGAGTTGGACTCTTCACACAAATAAGTCCCTCATTACGTTTGTCTTGACTAGTTTCCTATTTCAGAAAATAACATTTATTTTGGTAAATTCAACACCTTCATATACATTACATTACACTGTTTGATCAAAAGGGGATAATGACCTTTATTTAATTGGGTAGAACATGGTGTTGTTGGTTAGCATATGCATGTCAAGCAGCAAAACTAAACTAATTCATATTCAGAATTATGAATTAATTAATATGGAATGGTGACCTATCTAAGCTAAATGAAAACAGTTCACAAAACCAAACCACATTCACGTGATTCTATTTTTTCTACAATCATATGCAGAATTGATCAATTATGCTCAGCTGTTTTTTTTAAATACTTAATACTTTTTTAAAAAATTAAAAAAAGAATAATGCTACAACAGGCACACTGCATACATTTCAACAGTTCTTTGTTTTAAAGACATACTATATGCTTTATTTTAAGTGATGTATTTTTAGTTATACTGTATTCAAGAGCCTTGTTTGTTTTTACCTCTATTTTTGTATCATGTAAACCCTTCAGAATAAACAGTAGCATTGATTTGATCTCAGTACATCTGCAATCTAGTTTCTGCTCAATTTTCGTCTAAAAAAACAAAAAATGACATAAAAACAGACAATTAATTAAGATGGTATTAGACTGAAACTAGCATTTCTAATTATAAGTTTATGAATAGTTTTCTTCCATGTTGTGAATTTTCTATTTTACATTTCCCTTTAGTGATGTATAATTTGATAATTTAATGATGGTATGATGCACTGATGTATGAAACAAACAAGGGTCTAATGTTAATTTACATTTTATAATCCAAGCTCATCCCTTTTAGGGGAAATGAAAAGCTGTAAAACCTGCATTTTTCATTACTTTATATATTAATTTGAATAATCTTTCTCCTGGGAGGGTAATTTAAGCATTCATTATTTGAAAAGTATGTTTTTACAGGCCCAGGAGCCCTCATTGTAGAAAGCTTAGTGGTTGTTATTATAGGACATATTTTTCAGAATCTTATAATAAGGTTAAATCCTAATCTTACACACTTCTACTTGCCTACAAGTCTCACACCCAGGATGCCCCTTCACATCTCTCTCACATTCCCATTTTCTTTATGTACACCCCTAGAACAAACTCCCTACCTAGATCTTTACAATAGACTGCCATTCCGTCTGCTAGGTGAGTCACACCAAATACTCTATACATATTTTGTGCTTTTTCACATTCTTTAGGATTAAACCAAACTACTGAACCTTTATTTACTGAACAGCTCAGAAGTTTGTGAACTGCTGTGACCAGTGCCCAAATCATATATAATATATGATAATCAGACTTTACTTGTCCCAGCTTATAATCAAACATCTTAAAAGACAAATTTCAAGCAATTATACTATGATTGATTGGATTATTATGTTGGTGATATAAAAACAAATCAGAATTTCAGTATAATCAGGAAAGGGGCAAAAGGAAGCTTTCTGAGTTATTTAAGGGTTTCATACTGTTCATTCAAATAAATTCAAAATGGTACTAGATGTCGCTGATGTAGTTTTCTATTATTTTTTCATGGGTTCCTGACTTCTGAATGGTGGATGAAAATTCAAAAACATTATATGAGAAATGCAAGCAATTCTCATGCATGTTGCAATATAAATGTGTGAGCTCCAAAAAGATATTGCCATTTTAGTTAAGGGTCATTCAATCTGGAAGGAAACGGGGTGACATGTTGGCACAGTGGTTAACATTGCTGCCTTCCAGAGCTAGGGCCCTGGGTTCTAATTCCTGGGGTGCTATCTGCATGGAGTTTGTATGTTCTCCCTTGGTTTCTGGGGGTGACCTCAAGGTGCTCCAGTTTCCTCTGGCAGTCCAAAGACAAACTGGTAGATTAATTGGCTTTCAGAAAAAACTGGCCCTCGGCTGAGTGTCTGTATGTACCCTGTTATTGAGTAGTATCCCACCCAAGGTGTATCCTGATTGCTCACTGGGATAGGCTCCAGCTCCCCTACAGCCCTGTATTGGATAAAACAGAAAATGGAAGGCTGGAAGTTTATGGACAATTCAATGAAAAAGCAGGAGTTTGAATAGTAGAATGTAGAGTATAGCTAACATTTTACCTGAACCTTCAGTCTTTAAGATTTAGGTACTTCCACATACTATGAGTACAAACTCCCTTTCAGCTTTAAAAGGCATAGTGAGCCAATTACTATTAGGTGTCTTCACAAACTCAGATGTATGCATGCCTTTTCATTTCTTAATACTGAAGATGTCACGGAACCTATACGTGGAATAGGAGGATCCTTGTGCGTGACCGGAATCCCACAGGACGCAGAGTAGCAAAGGGACAATCCAAAAGACAAAATCCAAAGGCTGGGTCGATAAGGGAGGCAGAGGGTCCGGTAACGAGAGATATCCAAAAACAATCCAAAAGTCAAAATCCAGAAGGCGAGGTCAAGAGGCGGAAGCAGAAGATTCGTAACGGGAGATCAATCAAAAAGTTTGGAAACACACACTGGAGAATACTATGAAGGCTTCTCAATAGTGAGCATGGGAAGGTGTGCGAAGGGGGTTTAAATACTGAAAGGAAAGGGGTGTGATTGGATGATTGGTTAGGGAGTGAGAATTTGAGGAATCTGGTGCATGTGAGAATGTGCTGGGTTCAATCAGGGATGAGATTGGGAAGCAGAGGTTCTGGGAATGTGACGTCGTTTGCGAGGGAGAGTGTGGGGCGTGACAGAAGTGTTAAATCAATGGCTTCAAAACAAAACCCGGCAATGGTATACAGTACTTATTGTTTTTTGTAATGAACTGGTGATACAGGACAGTGTAATAAATATTCAACTTCATACAGAGTATATAATAATATAATTAATAAATATAACATTTATACGTGTTAATAAGAAAAAAAGAACACATTATTTTAACTCACTTCTGGGGTAACAAAGCGATGAAGTTGTCCAAGAATATACTGACCTGGTAGGTCCACGACATTAAAAGAAAATCAAGGATCACAATTTCACAGCACATCGTTTTGTTTTCCTTTTGGATCAGAACTCTTTGGCAATCAAACTACTGTACAGCAATTTCAACCAGAATACTGCAAGACTTTCCAAGAAACATTGTATTGCAGCAGCAAAGCCTATGAGCGAGTCAGTGAGTATACAATGCTTGAGAGTGAGTCATTATGGTACTGTATGACACCATCAGTCCTTGACCAGATTCAGATTCTTGACATGACTGGCCATAGCAACAGAAGCAGGAGTTGCACAACTCACAAATAGTATGGGTATTGCTAATTGTTCCTTAAATATATTCAAAGTGGCATTTCATCCTTTGTGCCCAAATGCACAAGTGCCCCTCTGTGTTGTGATGAGAAAATACAATTTTATTTAAAAAAAAAACATGAAAGTTCTCTTTTACCAAATGGTAAGGATCATTTTAATCAAGAAATAAGTACAGTATATACATTTTCATGACTTTCTTTATTAGAAATCAAATGAAGATTAATTTATATACATTTTTTCCAGGTCTAATAACATGTAATTGGCCTACCAGTTGAATTAAAGGATTACTATGAATACTAGTCTTATATCCAGTTTGTACAATAGCTGAAGCTCTTTTCTTATAACAAAATTGTAAGCAAATAAAGTCAGTTCTTGCACGTAAATAAGATAACATTTTGTGCTCAAATATTTTTAGGTCTTGAGAAGGACATAACCAGTTATGTTGGAGAAAACCCCATTCAGTATACAGTACGTGCCCACAAAATAATAAACGAGTTCTATTTGGTCAGACATAACATGAAAATAATTTAAATACTAGTATTACAAATCTACTGGCAGCAATATAAAATGCATTAATTATGATGACTTATTATATGCATAACTAACCTATTTCCTAAAAAGAATTGTAGGTGATCAGTTTAAAGAATAATGTTTTGAGAAAGAAAGAATTTTGAACATGATTTAAGAAAACCTTTTTAAGTTAACTTAAATTGACTTTCGATAAAAAGTAGTTTGGGAATTTACAAACAATATAGTGAATTAACTACACTATATGCATGATGAACTGAAGAATATTATGAATTTCAAATGATAAGAAAATTGACTAGGACCCTTCCTTAATAAGGTCTGTTATTAAATACATGAACCTGTATATATGAAGCTACATATGTGTAAGTGTGTTACATTTATTATTATTTTATTCTTGTGAGTTATATTATGTGAATATCTTTTTATATACTCCAATCATGTTTCCTTCTTGATGCTGTAAATTGATATCCATTTTAAAGATCAATTGGTACTTTAAAATGAAAAAGGGTAAATTATAATTGAGAGAAATGTGGAGTATCTTTTAATGCACTGACATCAAAGATATTCTAATATAGTACTCAAAACAGAGCACTCTTAAGTGAGAAAAAAAGTTTAATAAGACAGCTTGTTATTCTATCTGCATTGCAACCATCCTATTAAAATCACAGTTTTAAAATCAACAGGATATTTAGTGGACACAGTGCTGCAGGGTTTGGGAAAAAATGTTTGTAGAATGCTGCATATACAGTATTTTAATGTGAATGTACAGTAGTTAGATACATTTATTTTCTAAGTGTGAAGTTATGTCTTATGAGTATTTTTTTTTCCTGTTTCTCTGTGTATGCTGTTATGTCAAATGCAAAGATAGGACATTGAAAAACTATATTATTAAAAAGGACATTAAAACACATTTTGCAGTTACAGTGCCAACATAAACCCAATCACCTTCCACAGGAAAACAGGAGAGATTGATATCCTCTACTAATGGATTAACACCATTTCTTTTACACCGTTTTCAAGCAATTTGACTTGAGTTTTAATTCATTTCAGTATTCAGCTTCGGAGTGATTTATTTTCTTGCAAATGCATAGCTTTTCGGTGTATGCTGTAGATTGTCAAATCTGCTATACTTGGAATGCTGGAGATCATCACCCCTATAGTATATTTACCAGTGGCATCTGTTGACTCTAGGGTGAAATAAGAAAATGCAGACGTGAAGTGAAAAATATTTTTTTTAGAAAACTAGAGGATTTATCTGCACATACTCTATGAATGAACTTGAACACTTTCTTAAAATATATAGTTATTCGGAGAGTGACAGAGATACATAAGTGAACATCTCACAATAATAAAATTACATTATATAGAGCTATTTCATACAAGAAATAATAATGCAATAAAACACACCTATAGTTCAGCACCTAGTTAGAGTGTCAAAGTGGTGATGGAATCTTAGCATACACTGCACGAGTCAGCTCATGATGCCACAGCAAATTCAAAAATCACATTCGCCTTGTACAAGCTTTTGTCTTCCCATAGAATATCAATCTTTCAATCGAATTACCACAATTGCAACACCATTCCCACATTTTAATATTTTCATCCATCCATTTTCTAACTGCTTCATCCAATTTAGGGTCACGGGGGAGCCAGAGCCTATCTCAGCAAGAAATAGACATAAGGAGGGATATTCCCTGGATGGGACGTGTGCACACAGACGTGAGGGAAAGTTTTCCCAAAAGCCAATTTACCTACCAGTACTCAGTGATTTGTGGGAGAAAATCGGAGTGCCTAGAGGAAACCTACATGAACACAGGGAAAACATACAAACTGCACATGGAAATATTTCATAAATATGAAAACAATACCTCTTCAAGCAACATGTTGGTCCTAAACAAACAGAAAGAACCACTTGAAAAGGACACATACAGTATAATATGCTCATCCCAATTCCAGACAATTTTTCTACCCAATCTCATTCGATTCAAGATGTGATGAGGAGAATACTGCACAGGATTGTACCATTAGGCTCCACCTCACAATAATAAGTGTCAAATTATTTTGAGATCTGGGGATTGTTAGGGCCAGGGAAGGATAGTAATGGTAATCTGCCTTACTCTCCTCCAGCCAGCTACAGTTTGTGATTCATGAGACGGAGTGAGTCTATTGACCTGCCTAGAGGCTCATTATATTTAATCAGCAATACAGGATATAAAAAGAAAGTAACAACACACAATAATATTGATATTTAACATCACTTAGATTGATGCGGGGAGCCTTCACTGGTTTCTGAAGTCTCAGACTGGAAATTGTTCTCTGAAGAATAGCTGAAGGGGATATAGTTTTTAATTGAAAGGTTGAAGTGAGAAAGGCAGAGTAACAGAGTTTTATTATAGTTCAGCTTTCTTTAAATACTTAAATGCACAGATAGAAATTAGCTTTATATACACAGTATGGTAGAAATAAGTCTCTTTAGGCAGTTCTGCTTTCTAGGGTTGTGAAATTGTCTTTTAATTAGTATTCATATGTTCCATTATTCATAGTGACTTGTTCTCAAAAATGCTGTATCCCAGAAATCTATTTCTTATGAGAACTACTGTAGATAGATTCAAGGACAGACGTTGTGTTCTGCAGATGACACCAGTGTTAACAAATGGAGAGCTAGGGAAGACAAGACAAAATGGATATATTTCTGTATATTTGCTGAAGGACACATTTTGGAACACAAGCTATCAATCAACACTGCAAATCTTCCCATAACAGTTTATCATTGTTTTTCATAGTGCATACCATAGTCTTTAATCGTTGTGTCATATTTTAATCTAAATGCAGATAAGTGTAGATATGTGCATATTGGAAAAAAGTTATTGTATGCTCTTCATTTTTTTTCTTAAATCCTTTGTTTTCATGCTGCGAGAAATGCATTTACAGTCTCTCTTTTCAATGAATTTAAACAAGTTTTGAAATTGGATTAGTTATGATGAAATAGGCTTTAATGTATGTGTGTCCTAGTGAAGTAAAGCTAGCTACAGTGCAGTATATACTGTATATATATTCTATGTATTTATTTTTTATGCAACTAGGTTACACCTATTTTAGATCAATTCGTCCATCTTTACTTTATATCTATAATCATCTGCCTGCATTTATTTTTAACAGATTAAATACACTAACTTTTGAGAATCATGTTTTTGTTAAATCTGTAAACAGAATTGTGCCATCCCAATAAATTCTTGCCACAGCTAACATATCATTGTGGTACTGTAAATGCTTTTACTATTGGTACAGTATGCCTTAGTTATGCTGTGGTTTCCTATATTTTTTAATATACAATACCTTCAATCTTAATTCATACATTGACCCACACACGTATCATGATATATCGTTCATAATACATGTTCCTACTGCACATTTGTCATAGTACACAATGGTAATCCTGTGGTCTGGTATAAGAAAGAACGGTTAAGACATGTAAACTGTAGAGAAGAGCAAAAGTAAGGTAAAACCACTGTGAAAGTTCACAATACTATGATAAGAACACAACTTACAATTGAAAGGAGGCCATTCAGCAAGTCTAGCTTAGGAAGTCAATTGGTTGCTAGCTGCTAATTGATCTGTGGATCTCATTCTTGCAAGCAGTCGAGGCACCTGTTTCAACAAAATGGCTGGGTAACCTCTTCCAGTCTCCATGATAAATTCACAATGGTAAACAGTATTTCATAGGGTTACAAAGAGTGGAAATAATGTCTCTATTTTGCACTTTTATTTTACCTTGTGCTTCTCCATTACTCAGTTTCAGTTTTGCCTTCTAGTGGAAGTCTCTTCAGTCCTGAAGGTAAATAGAAAAATTAAAAAAAAAACATAAAATAGACCACAAAGAAAAAGAGGAGACAGAGCTTTAAGCACCATTAAAATCTAAATTCCACATTGGTCTATAAATATTTCACAATCTAAATGCCTTAAAATATTGTATGAATACTTTTGTTGTATTTTGATCAAATTAAAAATTTAAAGTGTAAGGTCTAGAAAACAATCTGAATGATAACACTAGATTAAAATGAGTCCATCCATCATCTTAAGGAACGCAACAGCATTTTGCAACACTTAAACTTAATAGTTTACACTTAGTTGTTTGATTTTTAAATAACGGAAATGCTTTACCTGAGATCTGCGATGCATTCTAAGTGACATGTATACAGAATAATCTCTTTTCACTTCAGCTTTTACTCTTAAAAAAACAAAGTAGAGAAAGAAATGGAAACATAAATAATGTGAAAACCAATTTTAAATTAGTGACTAAGATAAATCTATTTGATCAAAATTACAATAAGCTGCTCTTTACAAATACTGTATATATTTATAAAAAAATATATAAGTATAAACATTCTATGTGTTAAGATACTGCACTGGGATTTCAAGTCAAGTAAATAGGTGTTTGATTCAGGGAAGTAATATATTTGTTAATAAACTCTAGCTATTAAGAAGGTGCACAATAGGAGTCAATAGCTGTTTGTCTTTGTTTAGGGCTCCTCTAATCTTATTCGTTTTCTAAAAACTGCTCACTTTGATTTAGGCACACATATACCTTCATTACAAAGTCAATTCAGAAGCTCATTAGGGACCTCCAAAAATGAACTAATAAATCAGCCTCAGAAGGTTTTGTTGCACTTTAGCTCCGAGAGATTGCAGTCAAAGGATGGATGTCTTTGGAACGTCCAAATCGGCTTGTTAAAATTGCCCTGTGCATTATCCCTGGCTGGCATCCCATAGAAACAAACTACTTAAGCATCTTATTTCTTCACAAGGCATTTTTTCTTTCATTCTCACCCCTGCACCAGCTTCTTATTGCTGAAATACATTCACTTGGAATTTATTAGGTCAAGCTTTAAGGAAGCAATATTATGGAACAAAGGTAATGGGTAAAACCAAATTATTTGAGATCTATATAACAATGTCTATAACACAAAACAATGAAATAATAAGCACAAGTAGGAATATTGAATAGACCATAGATAAGCGGTCTTCAATAGCCTTTACACACATGTTTTTGCTTCAATTGCAGGTCCCATGTTCCATTTAGTACAACGTTACTGTGTGGCCCATTATCTCTTTTTCAGGTTTCTGCATCACTTGTAATCTTTTCATAAACTATACATGCCACTGCATGTCACTGCCAGAACCAGCAGGGTTTACATGGTTTATAAATGTACACTCTCGTCTTTCCTTTTTTTCTTAGCTTTCAAACTTATTCCAATGTCCACTATTTATTTCACAATCTTAATTTTAAAATACATTTTTGTCTCCGTATTTGTGTGTGTACCATAGAGCTCAGACTATGGTTCAGACTATTGTTCACTTTGACACTCTAAAGTTAAATAGATTAGCGAAAGTGGATGGACTGGTGGGTTTTAAAAAGTCACTCTATATTTAAATACTATACGTGTTAGTGACATCTGAAATTGCATGTCAGTCAATATGTCAACAAAAATAACCTGTTTTTCCATTGTTCCACCTCAGGACATGACAATGAAGCAAGTCTGTCAGAGGAAGAAACTTTATATTTATGTAATTTGTACCTTGGCCACTATAGCATATATCTGCTAATACAGTATTTTTCTTTTTTTAACTAAACATTTAAAATGACTTGTGCAGCCATACTTTAATAGTCTGTGCTGATTTCCCAGATCATTATTAACAATATCATCAAAAGCATTGCTGCCTGTAAAACTTAATTTCCCATTTTGTTTCTCACACTATTATTTGACACACTGTACAGTAGAACAACACAGCATTGTTTGTGTGGAACTGTAATGACCACCCTTTGTCTGTGGTTAATAAAGCAATTAAGTCTGTCTTCTCACTGTTAGATCAACCTTGAGAGCTATCCTTGAAAACATTTACAGTAAGTAGTTAACTTACAACAGCTCACACTGAAGTTTCATATTTACACATTGATGTATACACATTTTTCAAAGTTTTTAGTACAATTATTTGAAATTTAGTTAAATTGGACATGGACATTTGATAAGGAATCATCATCCATCCATTTCCTAAACCATATTACTCAGTCCAGGGTTGCAATGAATGCCAGAACCTAATCTAGGAAGCAAAGGGCGCAAGGCAAGATATACCATGGAGGGGATTCCAGTCTATCACAGGGCACACACATGTATGCATGCACAAACTCAGACCAGGAACAATTTTCCCAGAAGCCAATTAACCTACAGTACCAGTATGTCTGTGGACTGTGGGAGAAAACCAGAGCACCCAGAGTAAACACAGGCTAACATGGGGAGAACACACAAACGTCACGCACATACAGTAGCACCTCAAGAATTGAACCTAGAGCCCCAGAGCTGTGAGGTCACAATGCTACCATTGCAATCACGATGCCACCCTCATACAGATTTACATCAGGGCCAATATTTTACAGAATTCATATGTATACAGTACATATATTACACATACAGTATTTACATGGAGGATAGTCCATGTAAATACAGAGAGAACAATTCTAACCACGGTGCCACCATGCAGCCCAGAAAGTACCATGACCTACATGTTTACAATTGTGCTTATAGCGCTGCAAACAAAGCCAATTCAAATGGAAGATCTGGTGCATTTAGTTTTATTTCTTCAAGCCACACAGTTCCAAATTTAAATGCAACACATAAATTCTGATGTTTTTCTTCATAGCTCTTGATAAAAAAATAAGTGATTGATTTTGGCATCAGACCACGGCTCTTCTCAGTTCACCAGCTTTAATGGCCAAAATTACAGATTGTAAAACAGAAGCCATATCCATTTGCTGCTTTCAATGATCTCCTTCAGGAATCTGATCTATTTACAAAGACTGTAAATGTATGTGAAAACAACATTTGACATGTATAGAGTCACATACTGCAGCATGTAGGAATATTGTAGAATAAACAAAAAATCTAATCAATACATATTAAGAACCATGTATTCAACAAATAATATTATTACACATACTGTAATATAGGGATATAGGCAAGTTGAACCACATGGTGGTTTTCAAGCAAACTTACAATTTCTCATATACTGTAAAGAGATACTGTATAATCTAACATGCAGGTGGTGAACAGGACTAGAACAACTGCAAGACTTTATATTCCATTTTATTAAAAGAGGCTTTTTTACCCATTAAAAGAGGCTGTTACAGCACCATGTGATTGCCAGATACAGTACATGCAGCACCATGTTTAACGATTTATTTATTTCTATTGGTCTTATCTTAATTAATGTAGCTAAAGGACCTCCTGCACTAGCACAAAAACCACCACTTGAAAGCAAGCGATTAGAAAGGAAACTTTAAAGGATGTTAGAAAGAACACTTTAAGGTCCGGTATTTGCTCCCGGGCAGAAGGCAGCTGAAGGGAATGAGTTAAGGGCTCTCTTCCAAATACTTGTTTCCAAGTTTCATTAATGAATGACCTCTCAGCAATTTTTATTCTTGTGCTGTGGCTGAGTGGTTTCCAGTCAAGTCTGGAGCAGTTTAAAGATGCAGATCTAAAGATGCAGCTATAATATACTGTATAAATTGCTCAGTACCTGTGTCAGTGTTCTTATCTAAACTGTGAAATGTATTTCACTCTGGAAGAGTGGAATCCTTCACCTAGGAAGTTCATGGAACATCTCCATAATTGCAATCAAATAATTTACAGAAACAAGGTTCCTACGTATACTGTACATGTTGAAATCCTGTAATAGATAAAACACGTTATGATGGTCAAGAAAATTGAACTATATTATATTCTCAGTGTATGTTAATATTCACAATACAAAGATGTGAAGCACACAGGATAAGCAATGGCAACTACGCTGAACTAAAGACAATTAACATCATCACAATGTACCACTTTTGTAAAAAAAATTAAATTAAACAAAAAAGAAACATCTCAAGTACAAAAACAGATACCTTAAAAACAAGTACTGGCCAAGTGAAGGTGTTATTCAATTAAATATTACATTGGTAACAGCAGGGCAGTTCTTTAAAGATGTGCTGTAATATGGCTCCCGGGTTTGTCCAAAAGAGTGTCTTTTATAACAAGTAATGATAATGTTTGTGACTGGAGACTCATTTGGCACTCGTGAGGTATCCACGTACACACACACACACACACACACACACACACACACACACACACACACACACACACACACAC